TTTTATTTTATTTGTTTCTGATTATATTTTGTTTTCTTGTATTTTATCGCTCTGCTGACCCTTGGGGTCCATTTTATTTTGGTATACCTTTTCTAGGTACGTTAGCCTGTGACCACGGAAATTGGCCGAGTCAAGTGATGGATTAGTAAGGAGAGATTGAGACAGAAGGAGGTACTGGATAGAGAGACCGGGATGGTTTTTAATGTGAAGACAACAACAACAACAACAACTGGGTAGAGAGACCGGGATGGTTTTGTAAAGTGAAGACAACAACAACAACAACAACAACAACCGCGGGTAGGTACCGTCTTCGACTACCCCACAAACGAGTTCTGTGAGCTCTGTGAAGGTCGCGCCGCAATACCCTATAGTTCTGTGAGTTCTATGACAGACCCAGTACCCTACCGAACTTTCTGTGACAGCTCGCTTACAGAACTCGAAAGTTCTGTAAGTTCTGTGACGGCGCGCCACAGCAGTACCCTATAGTTCTGTGAGTTCTGTGACAGAACCAGCACCCTACCAAACTTTTCTGTGAGTTCTGTGACAGACCCAGTACCCTACCGAACTTTTCTGTGACAGCTCGCTAAACAGAACTCGAAAGTTCTGTGAGTTCTGTGACGGCTCACCACAATACCCTATAGTTCTGTGAGTTCTGTGACAGATCCAGTACCCTACCGAACTTTTCTGTGAGTTCTGTGACAGACCCATTACCCACCGAACGTACCCTTACCCTACAGAACCTACCCTTGAAAATATTGACGGATTAGTCGGTACCATGGCCCCTCCTCCTGTTCCGCGGAGCGTAGCCGGAGGGGGTGCTGCGGGTGCGGAAGGTTTGCCGGAAGCAGGGGGTGCTGCGGGTGCGGAAGGATTGCCGGAAAATGTAGTGATGGGTGGTGGCGGAGATGATGACATGGGGGATGGTGAGGGTGACGGTGGAGGCAGGGATGGCGTAGAAGCCGCACGTAAGAAAGCCAGGACAGACAGGCACACGGGGGGCGCAGATGTGCAGTACGTGCGGCCACCGCAGACAGCAAGGCTCGTACAGGAGCGCGCACCCTACCTCGAGAGAAAAGGGGGGGAGGCCGCCATGCAATGAGCCACCAGAGGAGTGTCGGCCGGAGAGTGAGAGAACAGGAAAAACTAGAGGAGGAACGAAGTCTTGGTCTCAATGTGATTGTGCGAAGTGCACAGCAGTTGATGGTTGAAGAAACGTGTGTTGGCGTAGTAGTAGGTAGAGCTGCATTGCACGGTTCAGTTTCAAGACGTTCTCACGTTATTATCATGTTCTGTTCTCCTACGTGGTGTGTGGCAGCAATTTTAAATTTTCATCTTTCGAACTGCTTGGAAAAAATCCCAAGTGCGCAGGAGCTAAAACCACTCAACAAATGGTGATGGTGGCTTTGCCCTCGCACGGGAAAACGTTTTGCTAAAAATGACGGGGGCGATCTTGTTGTTGCCTTATCTAGACTTGGATCGCGCTTTTCACGCATTTTTCCCCATGCGCAACGCTTTGGTACAAGTAAGCACAACGCTTTGAACAAGTCACCAATTCGTTTCCAACATACAGAGAAACGCATGGCAGAAAACCGTATAACCATTGCTCACCGCGTCGACGAGCAACTGTAGTTAACGAACGCTGCTGCTATTTTCTGATTTTTGTGGGAAGTTTTTCCTGAATAAGAACGCCTCTCAGATTTTTCGGCGCTCCGCGCGAAATAATTTAATAGGGCCCCAGATGTTCCTTATGTATGGGAGGTGAGCCAAACAACTCTTTTCATGCACAAGGAAGGCAATGCCGCTTTCAGACGCATCCATCGGCAACCTCGAAAAGTTGTCGAAGTTTGTTGATGCCGGCTACATCAAGGAGAGCAGCCACAAAGATTCCACCAAGAAGCACGTGATGGCCAACAAGCCCATCGATGACAAGTTCTGGTCGCATGTGGAGCGCATGGCCAGCCTGCTGTCCAGCGGCATGTTTCCGGCGGAAGACTACCGAGAGCAGCTAGATGCGAAAGTTGCAAACCTTTTGCGAGACGGAGCACCATTGTCGGCAGCGGCGGGCGGAGAAGCAGGGGTTGGTGGGTCGCAGGTGGTGGAGACTCCTAGGCCCGCACAGAAAAAGGGCAAGCGCACGGCCAAGGAAGCGAGGGCGGCGGCGAACACGATGCACGGGAACATCGTCAACTGCTGGGCCGCAGCAACAAACAAACCGGTGAGTTGGTTGGAGATTCCGTTTGCATCCTTTGGCCATGTTCGTGAATGACATGTGTTTGTCCGGTGCGTCACCTGTTTCGTCTCCCTCGCCCGCATTGTTCGCCGGCAGAGAAAATAAAGCACGAAAATACTCGTCGGATGGTTCTTTTGGTTCACCATCGAGTTTGCGGACGCTGTTTCGAATCCTGGCAGTGCCCTTTTTTTTGCGCTCGTATTTTTTGTCAACTTTTTTTTCTGCAACACTTGCAGCTGGTGTCGAAGTGTGCCAATCTGGCCGGCAGAGAAACCAAAACACGAAATGTTTTGCGGGGGATTCTTTTGGTTCACCATCGAGTTCGAGGGCCCGGTTTCCAATCCTGGCACTGCCCGTTGTTTTGCTCTCGTGTTTTTTTCAACTTTTCTTTTCAGCGACACTTGCTGCTGTTGTCGAAGCGTGCCAATCACGTGCTGCTGCCGTTGAAAATGTCTATAGTAAATTACTTGGAGGGACAGTTGACAAACATTTTTTGCTGCACTCTAAAATCTCCGTACCCCGGGCCTCGCTTTGCTGCTATTTTCTCGCAGATCAAGCGTACCCGCAATGGCATCGTGGAGGAAGTCACCCGCGTCCTTTATCCCATCGCACCACCTCCTCTCAAGTTGAAGTGCCTGTACTGCCCGAAGACCTTTGCCTCCGAACAAGGTCGATCGCTTCACTGTAGTGCCGTGCACCCAGATCCTCTCCGGCATGTTGGACGAGGGCTCAGGCGCGCCCTCGCGACGGGTGGGACCATGACAACTCCACCTTGGCACGGGTATTCGGGCAGGTGTTTTAATGTCGTCTTTCACCACAGAGGGAGGCGGGCACACCACTGCGGCGGGCCAGAAAATGTACCACGTGCGAGGGAGCTGTTCGTTTGAGCTGCAGCCAAGGACCCAAGGCGATGGTACATCAGACTTGCCAGATGACGGCCTTTTGTTGGACGAAGAACGCACCAAGCGGAAGAAAACACGAGGGGCTGAGAAGAGGGCGCAGTACAGCAACAGGACGAAGGCTGCGGTGGTCGCGGATCTGCGAGAGCTGGAGGCCGATCACGCCGAACAGATCTGGCATGTTCACTGCGTGTCGTGCCAGCAGTTCCTGGCAAGGAAGACCGGCATTCCCCAACCCAACATCTGCAAGTGGAACGGTGACGCAGAGAAGCTGATCGCAGCCGCGGCCAATGACTTGAAGAAGACCTTTTCAAGACTGGCAGGGAGAGAAGGTGGTTCGGAGACGCAGAGAAGAAGCTGCACTAGCTGCTGCTGCAATGGTGCAAGAGGAAGCTCAGAGTGTCGACACCCTGGATTCGAGTCAACCCGAGAGAGCTCGTAGTGAAAATGTATCCGGACAACCCGCGTGTAAAGAACTTTTCAGCTTCGGACCGGTGATGCAGGAAGTTCGTGAAGCGCCACCATCTCTCGAAACGAAGGCTCACAAACATGAAGAACAAGTCGGTGGAGGACCGTTTTCCGCAAATGAAGAGCTTCCACAGGAGGCTGCGCCAGCTGCTGCAGGAACCACCCGTTCGCCGGGCCGCTGCTGGGGGCGCCGCCGAGAACAACTGCGCTGCGATCGTTCCTGTGGAATCGCCCCTCCACGGGCGCTTCAGCCTGAATGCGCGTTTCAACGTCGACCAGGTTGGACTCGCATTCGTCAACGGCCTCGACTCGACGTGGGACGAGACGGGAGCTTTGCGAGTGCAAATTGGGCAGCCGTTCCCTGGTCTTGAGAAGCGACAGTGCACCGTCAACTGTTTCATCGGAGCTGGAGACAAGTTGATGCGGACCGTGGTCATTTTCCGCGGCAAAGGCAAAGTCTCGGCGGTGGAGAAGGCGGCGTACGACCCCGGCGTGGACGTGCTCTTCCAGGAGAACGCGTGGATGGACGGCCCAACGTGCATGGCGTGGGCAAAAAACAGCTTCCTACGCAGCATCAAGGGGGAGGAAGGTGTCGTTCCAGAGGAGCAGTCCATCCTTTTCGCGGACAACCTGCACGCGCAGACAACGGACGAGTTCAAGAAATTCCTTCACGGCGAGTGCAACACGCTGCTGCGGCTACTTCCCCCCAAGTTGACCGACGAACTCCAACCGGTCGATGCCGGCTATGGACGCCTCCTCAAAGTCGAAGTCGGTAACGAGCTGGATGAATTTCTTGGGCACGAGGAAAACCTTTGCCTGTGGGAGGGAGACCAACAAGCTTTCAGCTGGTGCAAGGCGAATCCTTTTCACGCGATTCACTGCAAGGGCGGTCGCCCGAATGGGCGCTCGGCCTGGGTACCGCCATCGCCTGTTCGAGAAGACCGGACTGACGATGACGGCAGACGGGTCGTTGGACGACCGCATCACTCCGGAGGGTGTAGTTGGGGCGTACAACTTCATGGACGGGGGCACGAGCAGTGAAGAGGAGATGCCCGATAGGATGATGAGGTCGGCGACGACGATGGGAGGGCGGGCGGCGGCGAATCAAGCTGCGACGGCGACGCAAGCGCAGATGATGATGGTAAGTTTTCGAGTCTTGGTCCGGTTTGTATTTCGCGTTTGCCCCTCGTTTTGCATGCACTGGTGGGGGGCTGTGAACTTGTTCAAACGCGCGTGCATCACGCCGGCTTTTTCTCGACAATTTTTTTCACATCGCTTCATTTGCTAGGTGATGACCACGGCGATGTTCAAGACCCCCTGTCACAGCTAGACAGCGACGATGACGTCGACTCCGACGATGACATCATCGCGATGGAGCTTCCGGTCGGATTCTGTATTCAAGAGTCTCCTCCAGAAAAGCTGGATCGCGCATTGATCAAGCGTTGCGTGTTCTTGATTGAGCCGGCGGGGGTGTGTGAGGGTGAACAGCCACGCCGGCAGGGCAGTAGGGCGCGAACCCCCAACGTTCGCAACATTGACCAGCCGGGATAGAGCATGCCAAGTTGTGACAACTTCACCAATCGATTTCGAAGGGCGTTAGGGATTACGGAGTATTTTGTCCCGACGCACATTAGCACAATGACTTTGCGCTTCTTCTTTTTTTTCAGTTCAGTACCGCCGGGTGTCGTGCAAGCATGTACCCCACGGGTAGTACAAAGCTTTGTGGCTGGAAAAGGAAATAGGGATGATAACAAATCGTGCAATTTGCGTGGTGTCGAAAAGATACGATATGGCGAACATAAAAAGTAGTGGTGCAATTCTCGTCTGGGAAAAATAGGAAATGCCGACATAAGATTCAGCTCACTATGGCTGCGGCAATAAGATTTGAGCCTCAACTGAAAAAGGTGTTTCTTACGAGTGGACCGGCACTGTAACTGTAGCATCGAACGTCCTCCAAGCGAGAGGTAACCTCGCCCTCGGTGAGGGACGAGGTTATGCACGACTCTTATTTTGGCGGCATCAGATGGACCACCGGCAGATGGGAGGAATCTATCCATACCAACACCCAGTTGCAGCTGCAGCAGCAGACCGCTCGCTACTTGTGCTGTCTGTGCGTCGCTACTTCTGCACTCACTACTGTGGTGCGTGGGTCGTGCCAAGAGCGACCCGCAGGCCCGCAGGACACAAAAAAACGGGGGTACGCGGTAGAAAAAATGTGGGTACCCCATTGTCGTATATTCTGCCCTTCCGCCGGTGCTCAGCAAAAAAACAAGTTCCGTTGCGGTTCGACTGTATCACAATGTGTTTGTTGCTGTCGTGTGAAAATTGAGCGTTGATGGGTTTGTGGAAGGTGATCAAAGAGTAAAAGGCATCAGACGCAGAGAAACCAAGCGGTTTTCCGCTAGCCGCGTCGACTTGTGCCTAACACATCGAAAGACATTTGATGATGGGACCGAGTGTTTTCGTTTTGAAGAAAATTGCATGCCTGCGATTGTGGTTGATCGCAAGAAAGAGGGGAGATTGTTACCATCGAATGTTTAGTAGCTGGAGGCGTGTTGGTTGGTGGCGATGCGTTGTTGGTCAGGTCTTTCTTGTTGAAATGCGCCTGATCTTGAGCACAGCCGAGGGAGGAAGGGTCTGCGGGAGATCCCTTTATTATTACGCGATGACGTCAAGGCGTCCACACGGAGTATTAATTATTATTGGAAAGACCCCGAATCCAACTGCATAGTTCGTTCTAGCATCCTGTAATTTTGGCAAGGCCTTCAGCGACATGTCGTTCGTATATCGTCTAACGGTACGGTCGATAGCAATATAGCTCGTTTCTAGTAGTAGTAGTGGTAGTGTCGCTCGCTGACCTACTGCTGTAGGGCAGTATTTCTTGTGCTTGTCGCAGACAACGGTGCTTACTAGGCAACACCACCCTTCGAGTTTTCGTCACGCGTCGGGTACTGCTGACCGCTGCTGCTGCTGCGTGTGAACCCTTGGTGTGGCCGAACCTGATAGTACGGTAGGCAAGCCGTAGCTCCTCGTAAGTTGTATGCGCATCCACGGCGCCTAGAATGTTACGAATGCAAGAAAAAAACATGGCCTTGAATTGTGGATCGAGGAAGAGTGTTGTTTGGCAAATTTTGACAAACGACAAAGGTTTAAGTGGTAGGAGGTGGCGCTCCGTTCATGCCCACACGACCCGTTCACGACGAAAATTCCGCATAGGGTTATTCCTCTTGAGGGACCGCTACGGTCACTAGAGGTTTCACAGCGCCGCAGTCAAACGTCTGTCTTATGGCGTTCTGTCGAAGTTCCGAACCACGCACTTTTTTGTGCCGAACCGCCGAGGCGCAACGATCACTTCTTCGAGGACCTAGTGCGGTTGCCTGAGGCAAGCTGCGTTACCAATCAGCGAAATCAATAGCGACTCTCGGGGGACCGAGCCGTTTTACTAGCCACAGGTCACATGCTTGTGAGGTACATTCATCGATGGTGCTTCTGCAACTGAACAAGGGGCCACCGATCCACGGTTCACACATGAACGTCAGCTGTCTTTGGGTGGTGCGTGCTGCTTCTGCGGTTTATATACAACACCAACAAGGGCAAAGGATTTGGAGTTCCTTTCCGGAAAGACTGGACTGGCAGACAAGCCACCCGATGGGCACGGGGAACAAGTTACGTCGGTTGTGACGTTAGGATTGGCCCAGCACACACCACCTCGAGAACTTTAACAAATGATTCCGTCGTGCATGTGGCCCCGGAAAGGCGTCCGAGCCGGTTGGACAAGTGTGGACATCAGAAGGTACTGAACGGAGACCGGACCGATATGTTTAATGTGAGGTCGACAACATTATACCACGTGAAGTCGAATCGCTCCTCCCTCTGTGACGTCACAAAGAGAACGTGACATGATGGCTGGGAGCAACAAAAAAATGACACACCCAACTGTTGCACCATGAATGAGCGAGCGTAGAATTCTCATGGAAACAAACCTCCCCACAACTCCAAGTCCCCCACTCTGAACCCAGACGTTGTCGAACAGGTGATGCAGCGACCAGCGACGCGCGCCACCCGACACCTGGCGGCGGTACCAGACCTCGAGGAGGTTGAGGCGGCGACGAAAGGCCTGGGGAACTGGAAGGCGGTTGGTCCCGACCTCCTTGCCGCCGAACTGCTCAAGGTCGACGGCGACGACGAGCCAGTTGTACTGGAGCGCCTCCGTGCCATCTTCGTCGAAGTGTGGAATGGGGGAGAGATGCCGCAGGAGTGGAAGG